AAAATTAAAGTATAATAATTTTGTTTTTAAAAAAATTACTTTAAATATTATACAAATGAAATAAAATTAAATGATAAATTAATTACTGTTATTAAATACAGAATTTGCTTAATAGGTGTAAAATAACTACTTACAATTAGTTAAGATATAGTACAGTCCTCTTTATTTGCTTGAGTTCTTGTATGTTTTGTGGGTCTTACACGACTCGAACTTCCCAAATTCTTTAACTCTGTAAGACGTTGCATTGCTCTTTTATTTCCTTGAGCTATTATTAATATCCAGGAAAAAAAATTTTAATTATAAAATTCAAAGAAAAAAGAAAGAATTATCAATAATTTGCTTATAAATATTACCTGCAGCTCGCATATACCAACGTCTTGCTTCTTCAACATCTAATTTAACACCGATTCCTACTTCAGAATAGTACCCAATTGCGTATTCTGCCTTTGCGAGACCTTTATCAGCAGCCTTACGCGCCCATAAATACGCCTCTGTGTCAGATTGTTTTAGTATACCATCCGACCCTGTTAAATACCAACCAGATAATGCCAATTCTGCTTCTGTATTTCCTTTTTCAGCAGCACGGGAATAGTATCTAATAGATTGGCGTGGGTCAATGGGACATCCCAATTGTCCGTATTCAAAACAACAACCTAACTTAAAGCAAGAAGGGGAATAACCAAGATCCGCAGCTTTTTTAAATTCTTCTATAGCATGTTTTTCACTTCTAATTAAAGAAGGAATTTCTGGTGGCTCTTTTTCGGGCTTTGCATGTAATAAACCCAACTCATGTAATGCATGTGGATTCTCCTCGTCAGCATGGGAGGCCGCTCGTTTAAGCCATATAATAGCTTCGCGTGGATTCGGATGTTGAGATAATAAACCATTTAACATTATCATACCAAGCTTATACATGGCAGCTGTATCGCCTAATGCAGCGGCCTTTTTAAAGAATTGTGTAGCTCGTTGTGGGTCACGTTTTGTTCCAGCGCCAACTTCGTAACATACGGCTGTACGATAAGTAGCAGCAGCATGATTTTGTTTTGATGCTTGCATATACAAATTAAAAGCTTTATCATGATCCGGAGGTAATCCTAATGAACCATTCCCATAACAATTCGCAAGATAAAATTGAGCTTCTGGGTATGCAGGACGTCCAAATCCCATTCCTTGCGTTGCTAGCCGTTTAATAAGCTTAACAGCTTCTTGAAGTAACGCATCTTTTTTCTTTTTAGCATTTTTCGGATCAGGATCATCCTTACTTGTGACTGCAGCAGCTTCAATTAAATATTTAGCGAAACCTAATAACGAAGCAGGATCTCCATTTTCTTTAGATTGTTTACGATATTTTTCTATGGATTCAAGTGTATATACAGGTTTATCCTCCATCTGACCAGTATTCTTAGTTTGTGATGTTAGAATACTTGAATTATCTTCATACATTATATCATATGGTTCCTGTTGTTGATGATCATAATATATCGGTTGACCAGTTTCATCCACTGGATACCCTTCCGGCGGATACCCTTGAGGTGGATAATTTGGATCATAATTTGGATCATAATTTGGATCGTAGTTTTGATCGTAGCGATATGGATCCGGATAATATTGCTGTTCTGCACCATAATATCCATCGCTTCCAGGATATCCTTGATAAGGAGCGTAAGCGTATCCTTGATAATCATAATTGGTTTGGTCATAACCATATTGATCTTGAGGATACGCATAAGCTTGATCCTCGACATAACCCATTGCAGGATCATAATTTTGTCCAGGCGGATAATATCCTCTAGGATCATGATTTTCATAATGTTCATTATTATAATAGGGTTCTTGTGGAGAAATTGGAAGAACTTGATTATCATGATTTACTTGATTTAGAGGAGGTTGCGAACCTGGAGGATACTCATTATAAGCATCCTGATAATTATATGTTTGATATTCATCTTGCGGTAGTTCTGGTTGATACCCGGGTTCATGCTGTTGTTGTAGTGGAGGAGGAGGTGTTGCTTGATTCGGACGAGGACGAAGACGAGGAGACGGTGCTCTTTGAGTTGTTCTTTGTGGGTTTGTTGCATGAAGTAAATTGGGGTTCGTAACTTGCGTTGTATTAGAGCGTGTTAAAACTTGGTTATCATCACCGATTCTTAAATTATTCATGCTTAAAATGGCTTGGTCAACTGAGGGGTCCGATTTAGATTGCATTGGTGGACCATATTCACTATAAGCTTGATCGTGATAACGTTGTAGAGCAGGAGATGCGCGACGTTCCTCATAATATGGCTCACGAGAAGTTGGTTGCGCACTCATTCTATTATTTTTTTAAAAACAAATATAAAAGAAAAGCTATAGGTATATAGATGAAATTAGCAGAATTTTTTCGAGAGGGAGAAAAAAAATTATGAAGTAATATGTGGAGCATGTTATAATTGATTTTCTAACGAGAACCAATTAAATTATTAAAGGGCGCAGCACAAGAAATTAGAATTATTTTCTAATTTATAATGTTACTAGTTACATATACAAGTTGAAATGACGGATTTTCGCATGACTAGATTGGATATGGATTATTTGTCACATCTACGTTATACTTTTTCGTTGAGAGGCTTAACAGAAAAACTGTTCTTTACAAATTTGTGATCGTGGCTGAAATATAGTTAAACGTTAGATCGTCGGTGACATTTGAATCGAAGAACGATCATAAATTAAAATATAACGCATGTATGCAATTAAGTAAATAAATAAATAAATAATATTTATTTAATTATTGGATATAATATAAATAATGTATACATTAGTTGATAATTAGGCCTAAGGAAGAAATTTTTTGATCTATAATTTTATCCAAAGTGAATTAACATTATCAAAAGAGAAAGAAAAGGATAGGCGTGATAATTGCAAAAGGAAAAACCATCATCCCTTTTTGAACTCGTTAATCGTTGATTTGCGTCCTATTATTGATCGGGAAATATAGCTACTTCCTCTAATTTAATTTGGTTTTATGAGATACACTATTTATAAACAAATAGAAAAGAATAGGAAAAAAGAAAAAAAGAACTTGTCCCTTTTTGAAGGCAACATTAAAAACGTAAAAAACGAGTGACACGTGTATTAAACAAATTAATTTTTTTTTTTTTTTTTTTTTTTAGTGATAAAAAAATAAATGAATCAAATACATAAGAATATAAAAAAAAAAAATAAAATAAAAATAAATGTAGTCAAAGATTGCAAATTATTGATATCCACCTGGTTTGAATTACTACAGACACCCGTTAATATTATTAAAGGATCACGTTAGCTCGTTGATAAAACTACTTGGTCATCATCATCTTGACGAATTCTTCATAATTAATTTGACCGTCACCGTCAACATCAGCTTCACGAATCTAATACAAAGACATAGATTATAGATTACATGTATATTCGTTAGTGATGCGATAAGTAAAATTGAAATATAATCAAGAACGTCAACTCACCATTTCGTCAACTTCTTCGTCAGTAAGTTTCTCACCGAGGTTTGTCATAACATGTCTTAATTCAGCGGCGGAAATGAAACCGTTACCATCTTTATCGAATACTTTGAAGGCCTCTTTAATCTCTTCTTCAGAATCGTGATCTTTCATCTTGCGAGCCATCATGGTCAAAAATTCAGGAAAGTCAATTGTACCATTACCATCGGCATCAACTTCGTTGATCATATCCTGCAACTCTGCTTCAGTTGGATTTTGACCAAGAGACCTCATTACCGTACCGAGTTCTTTAGTGGTAATAGTACCATCATTATCCTTATCAAATAGAGAGAAGGCTTCCTTGAATTCGGCAATTTGTTCTTCAGTAAGTTGGTCAGCCTATATACATAAATTTTAAGTGTGAATGAGTTTTATTATTATTATTTATTCTTTTGTTTTTTAACCTTATTTTTTCCTTTTAAAAGAAAGTACTTTACTACCAAAGACCCATTCATAAAATAAAAGGGACGAATATCGGAAAGACTTTGTTATAAAGCCAAGTTTACTTATCTCGTGTAAACGCGGCTTTTTTTATTCTTAAAACATAACTTAAAGACTTACCATTACGATATTTGTAAACCTAAGATGTTTAAGATTAGCAAAAAGAGAATGGGTTATTGAAAGCTTGAAATTACTATTTTTTTTTTTTTTTTTTTTTTTGGGTCGAAAGTGATTCTATGGTGTGTGGTTGTTTAAGTATATGATGTCGATCCCCTTTTTTAGACGCGGCTAGTGAAGGAAGTAGTGGATAATCTTGTTCTGATCTTTGAATTTTAGCCAATAGTCTTGCAAATCATTTTATCATCGGCGCAGTGACTTACATCAAACCACCAAATCAAGGGTGAACACAAACAGAAATTAGCCTAATTAATCGACACAACGGGAACACTTTTGTCAAGCCTCAAATATCCTTGCCAAGAAAAAATTGATTATACTTTCTATATTTAACGGAGTTTATTCAATATTTTGTATTTGTGTCAGTGTTCCGAGTTTCAAAAAAAAAACACCACATAACACAGCAGATAACCAATTACCAGCTGACCGCCTCAGCCTCACCGCAGTCTTATCTTATCAGTGACGTATTGATGTTCCGAGATGTGCAAGATCTTTTATGAATTCGAAAGCGCGTTGTTTCGTCTTTTCTAAACGATCTTCCATACCTCCCATACCCTTTATCGCATTTACACGTCCCTATTAAATATTCTACCTTACTTCAAACCGAACCACAAACCAATAATTCCAACAACATTTTGACAATATTTCTTCCTGTTGTGTCAAATCGAATCGATTATCAAAATTTTTTATTTTTATTTTTATTTTTATTTTTTTTTTGAAAGCGTGTTAGATAATAAATATATTAATATATATTACGCGGTATAATTAATTGTTGTGCCATTGACAGGATAGAGCGTTTTCTGATTTTTTTTTTTCAAATTCTTTATAGTTTTATTTAATGTTTTAGCTTCCCTCCTTTCTTAACTGTAATCAAAAATGACAGAGACCGGAGGCCGTCATATCGCTATTCTTGGAGGTGGCGTCATTGGTTCTTCTATCGCATATCAAATCACTTTACTCAACAAAGATCCGAATTTAAAAGTAACAGTCATAGAACAAACCGCCATTGCCTGTGCCGCTTCTGGTAGAGCAGGGTACAGTACAAGTATTTGTTGGGCTCTTTTTATTCTAGTTTTCAGGGAGGATGAGTTGATTTTCGGAATTATGCTGTGTTTATAAATGTTTCTAATTTTTCGCTTCTTGATATCTTCTAAAGTGGTTTCTTATCTTATGACTGGTGTGACGGAGGTCCACTTCAAGATCTTGCTCGCAAAAGCTTCAAGTTACACGCTGAACTTGCTAGAACTTTAAATGGTAAAAAAAGATATGATTATAGAGTTGTTGATACCTTATCAGTAACGGCTTCAATGAAAGCTGTAAGCGTTAAAGCACCCCCAACGAATTGGTTAAAGACTGGTGTAATTACAAAATATAAACAGATCGGATCAACTAAAACAACAGCTCAACTTCACCCTTACAAATTCACTCAAACATTAATAGAGGAAGCTGAGTCTAGAGGAGCTCAAGTTAAAATTGCCCGCGTTGAAGGGTTAGAATTTGATTCATATAAAGTATCGGGTGTAAGACTTTCCACAGATGAAGTTGTACCCGTTGACACAATTATTATAGCAATGGGTCCTTGGAGTGGAGAAGCTCTTTCATGGCTTGTCAAAAAAAGTGGACGTGCTTATCAGCTTCCGGATGTTTCAGGTCAAAGAGCTCATAGTATCGTAATAAGACCTTCGGTACCGATATCAGCACATGTTTGTTTTGTATCGCTTAATCTTGGTCGTAAATTTGCCGAACCTGAAATTTATCCTCGTCCGGATGGGGAAGTTTACGTTTCTGGAGAATGTGATGAATCGCCGCTTCCTCCTAATGCTGATCAATATGTTCCAAATCCTACTGCGATTAAAAACCTTAAAAGCAACATAAATACCCTTTCTCCCGAGATTTTGGGTGTCGCACCTATCATTAAAGAATCATGTTGTTATATGCCTATATCTGATGATGACAAACCTTTAATTGGAAAAGTTCCTTGGCTGGATGGAGTTTACCTTGCAACTGGACATTCTGTTTGGGGAATTTTAAATTCTTCGGGTACAGGTCGGGTTATTGCAGAAATGGTTTTGGAAGGTCAGGCAAAGTTCGCTGATGTTAGAGCATTAGCTCCCATGCGACCAAGGAATACAAATAGAAATTCTCAATGAGGATTGGTTTACCAAAAGTAAATGATGTTCTGTGAACAAACAATTTGTTATAAATAAGTGTTGAAATAATCATTAAATCTTTTGGCAGGTTCGTGATTTTAATCGCACAATATATAAGATTTGAGTTCATTAGAAAAAATATCATTTTAGATCATTGTATAATTTTCATTTCATAAAAATTATAAAAAAATATTCAAACTCCGATTCTCTGAGTTTATAAAAAGATTTTTTTTTCCTTCAATTCCTTTTTCCTTTTTTTTTTTAAAAAAAAAAAATAATAATAATTTAAATCATCAGGAATCGATATAGAATTGTAAATTTATTAATTAATTAATTTGGACACCAAAAATGAACAGTTAACTATAACCAATGAAAACTGAACTTTTTTAGGAAATTCTCTAGATAACTTGCTTTTTTTGATACGTTACAAAGGTTTATCTTTTCCTTCTTTTGATTACTCGGCAAAGTAATGGGACCAAGTCATACGCCTTTAGATTTGACAAGTCTTCAAGAAACCTTGCCAGTGCCAGCTACGATGGCATACATTCAAGCTTTTCTGGTGTGTTTCTGTTCAATTAAATTAAGAAACGACTTTTTTTTATTTATATATTTTCAATGGTTAATTTTTGTAATAAAAACAGAAAGACGAACCGAAAAAAGCTTTCGACTGTGTTCAATTAAGACTGAAGAAAGCAAAAACATTAAATCAGGAAATCGCAAATTATTTTCAAGAACGGTAACGTATTAATGTATACTTATTTGTCACAAAGCTTATTTTACTAATTTATATGTTTTAATGCATTATTAGAGCCAGAGTCGAAGACGAATATGTTAGAGGTCTTCAACGATTAGCAAACAAAGTATTTGTAGCAGATAAAAATAGCTTGGGGTATTACATTATTTATTTTGGTCTTTAATTTATATTCTTTACTTACTCGATTGTTTTCTTTCCAGTACCTTTGTAAATGTATGGGATACTCTTCTCAAAGAGCTCACTGAAATAATTCAAATCCATACTAATTTAAGTTTAAAAATATATGCGGAAGTAGAAGGCCCATTACGTGAAAAAGCAACGTCTGACCCATGGTCAGAATTAAAACCTGTAACAACTTTATTTTTACTAATTATCTTTTATAACTTTAATATTTATTTTTATTTACACAAACTAAACTCACTTTAAATTTATTTATTAGCTTGAAACTTATCTTGGCAAATTAATACGGGAATATGAAGAAAAACTACAAAAAGTTAACAAGGTATTTGTTTCAGATTTCTCTAATTTTCTTTCTTTTTCTATTTATTAATGTATTGTTATCGGTCAATTACAGCACAAGACCAAAAATAAAGTCGGAAAAAAGGCAGATGCTGGTAAGGTATTTAATTATGATTATGTCATATATATAATAAAATAGAAAAGTTCCAACATTGATTTATTTCATCATTATGTTAAAGAAAGTAAACTCAATGAAACGCACAGAGCTTTAGAAGATTCTAAGACATTATATCTTGAGGTTTGCTAAGTTTTAAATATTAAAGAAAGTATAATATCTTAATGTATAATAAAGGATTATTTCTTTTATCTTATGTAGAAAACCTACGCTGTTGATTTAATGCGTTTGGAGAATTTGAAAGATTCTATAGAACGTTTTGAATCTATACAAAAAGACGTATATAAAAACCGTGTTGAGGTAAATTAGGGTTCGTTATATTAAATCTACTCATTTCTTTATTGACAGAGTTGTTTTATCATTAGATTGCTGAAAAAACATTGGGAACAGTTAAAAAATTTGATGCCCAAGGCGAAATTAAGGATTTTTGTTCCAAGAAAGGACAAATTATTGAAGGTTTTTTATTTTATTTTTTAAATAAAGAATTTGATGGATGTACGTTTATTCTAAAATAAGAATAATTGACATTTTCTAAATTTAATTCTATTAATGTCACATGTAGGAGGAACTATAGAGGAATCATCATCATCATCTCCAGGTACCGTAAATCAATGTATGTTATTTAGACCTGAGTTTTTATTTATTTATAAATAACTTAAATAATTTACATCTTTGCAGTAAAATATGCCTTTACGATTAGGCGTAAAAAAGTAACTTCACAAAATCATTTGTATGTATAATCTCGAATTTATTTTTTTAAAAAAAAAATAATTACGAATTATAGAATTAACTTTAGTATTATGTGTATTACTTAAAGGGACGTTTCTTCTCAGCCTAAAATTGAAAATATCGACTCTCACAGTGATGGTTTGAGGAGCCCTTCAACTATTTCAGTCAATAACGATCATCATGAAGTTGCAGTGGTAAATATGTCATTCAAATGTTTTTTATCCTGTCAAAGTGCATGGATAGTTATTGTGAATTTTTTTATTCATTGTGTTTTGTCTAGCCAAAAGTAGTTGTAGACTCGGAAGGTTACTCAATACCTCCCACGGAATCCAAGTCGGATAATTTTTCTTCTTCAAATGAAGAAAATGATTCAGATTCACGATCAGAAACTGCTAAGTACGTTTTGGTTTAATTAGTCGGTCTAATCATCTTAATTAGTTTACTAATATGTTATGATATAGTTCATGGAATCAAGAGAAAATGCGTGTTGAGATTAAGCCGACGGTTGTTCCAATAAATGAGGAAGAAGCTGCTGCAGCCATGTCACTTGTTATGACACATCTCAAGTCGGTAAGAAAGTATTTAATATTAAACACAAATTATAATAATTTAGAAATGTTTATATTATATCATATCTTTACATAGACACCTACTTCGAAAAAAAGCACGCTTCGTGGTCGAAGAGAGTATGTTTTAATTCAATTCTTTATTTTTTATTTTTGTTTACTCTAATATTGATTATCTATTCTTCTTTAGTCAATGGAGAAATACTATATCGAATAATGCAGACAGTATATATGTCGACACAAACAATGTTTCGCTTTCACCTTCATTTTCTGATAGGGCAAATAGCTTAATTAATTCATCCCCAACTTCATATGAATTCCTGGAGGTTGTAAATCATCCAAGAGCTTATTCCGACTCTGAGACTAAACCACGTGGATTACGTGCTTCAATCTTTGAAACTGTCAACATAATGTCCAAAGCTGGTGAAGTTACAAAAATACTTGTAACGGGTGAAATAAGTGTACAATATAATTTTCCAACAGTACGGGATCATTCACATCCAATCAGGATTAGAATCAATAATTTTGAAACATTGGAAAAGTCTGCACCAAACACATCATATCTTCGTCCCGCACCAGACCTTGTAGGACAATATGATATTGATACAAGCTTATTATCTTTGGCAGGAGGGGCTTCGGTAGCTGTAATGAAATATCAAGTGCACATAGATCCGGAAAACAAAAATACATATGTACCACTTCAAGTGATCCCACATTGGAAATGTGAATCAAATTTAACGTCATTAGCTGTTTCATATCAAGTGAATCCCGAATGCAAACTTACAGGAAATCTCTCAGAACTTTCCTTCATAGTACCTGTAGATGGAGAAGTTGGAACAGTACAATCTAAACCCACTGGAGTATGGAGTATGGAAAAGCAGAGGATTTATTGGCAAGTTGGCGATGTAGACCTTTCTACTTCTCCTGAACGTAAAAGAATATTAGCACGTTTTGAAACAGGAAAAACATCTACCCCAGCACCTGCTGCGGTTAGGTTTTTATGTAAAGGACAATTGTTGAGTAATATTTCGATAGATATTGTACCTTCTGTATCAAATGGACAGGAGCAAGAAAATAGCAATAATCCAGGGGGGTTTGAAAATGGTTTTAAATTTCAGGAGATAACATGTCAAGTTTCTAGCGGTAAATTTATTGCTTCTCAATAATAATAGAGGAATTGCTGAACGATTTTGCAGCTTGTTCTCGTATTGAGTATTGGTTGGTTTTATTGGACATTTTGCATAAACACATTATCATTTATAATTAATTTCAGTTATTTATTAACTAATTCAATTCTACTATTAAATCTTTTTACATTATAAAAACATTTTCTTTCCTCTCTTTTTTTTTTTTTTTTTTTTTTTTTTTTTGCATTTATTATATCAAATTCCAATATGAATCTTTGAATTATACTAATTTAATCAAATTAAAATTTAAAATTAACGCAAAAAATTTAGAAAAAAAAAAATATATTCATTTGCATTTTATACTTTTTTCCTGTATAAAACAACTTTTTATTTATCTAAAATAAAATTCTTTTGAATTAAACAAAAAAAATTTTTTTTTGTTGTTTTAAATGAAAAGAATTTTTTTTTTTTTTTTAAAAAAAATAAAAAAGAAAAAATCAAAAAAGGAACCAAGTTTTCGATCTAAAATAAACCAAAATCATTAAAATTTTAAACTGTGAAGAAAGTATTTTTCTCAAAAGAGAAGAATTGATTATAAAACTTACATTTTTTTTTTTTTTTTTTTTTTAGAAATCGATTAATATAATATCGTCATTTTTGTTGTTTCTCCCTTGCAAGTTTAGCATAAAAAGCATCTCTTTGTTGAATCGTAGGAACATGAATTCCATACCAATAAGCATACCCACCACCAATGCCAAGTGCAAATGAAACGACGACATCGGTAATAAGTACTTTGCGAATTTTACCAGTAATTGGAGCGATAGCCATTGTGTGTTCTTTACTTTTTATTATAAAAAAATTGTGCAAATAGAGGATTTGAAAAGATTGATCTGTTCATTTTTTTGTGTTAACATAAGGTTTAATAAAATGTGGTTACACTTCACGAAAAATTTGTAACACCAAAAATTTGTAACACCTTCATTTATTATTATTATTATTATATAAAAATTATTTTCCCCCGTATTACCCGTAAAAAACAGCAGTAATTTTTTTTTTAATTATTTTTATCAGAAACTTTTACATTTTCTATATTAAATATACATTATTCAGTCGAATTATTACTCTAAAAATCATGGAATATAAACCTTGAAATATTTAATGTTCAAATAAATAATTTTTATTATGAGGAGCCGCTTACTGCCAATCTAATAAGTAAGATTCAAAGAATCAGTAAAATTATCTAAATATAGGAAAGAAAAGTAATTTTAAGATTGAACATACTTCTTCAAATGTTCCATAAACACCTGCAGGCTAACGTCATCAGTAAAGATAGCTTGTCCTTGCGGAGCTCCATACATTCCTCCAGAAACGTGTGTAGTGGAAGGATTTAATTTGGAAAGTAAGAAACGTGCTTGAGAACCATGTTGGTCACAAACAATGTAACGAGGAATAGGGAACCGATCCGCCAAAAGTTCCTACAATATAACATAATTAATTGTATTAGGATTATGAATTTATCAATATTGAATTAAACATGATATTTTTCAAACATTCACCTCTGAATCATTCTTTGGTAATTCTAATAACTCTTTGAAATTTTCATAACCTTCTTGATCCTGATATCCCGCCTTCCTCCATTGAGCAATTGTCTCCCCATGGAAAATAAGAATATGGAAAAATGTATCAAGTAGTAAGATGACGTCGGGTTTTATAGAAATTGAATCCAAGAGTACTGGTTGTGGTGGTTGATCGAAACCATAAGACATAAGTGTGGGCTGAATCATAATAAGTGAATTGTTCACATCTTCTCGATTCAAAACGTGGCTAAAAATAATAAGAAAATTTTTAATGTGAAGATTTTTATGATTTTAGTCTAAATCGGTTCAATTCCGAAAAATAAATACCGATAAAATGCCGTTTCGTCAGGACTATTATTGAAAACTTGCAAAAATTGACTTCTCCTAAGGTGAAACATGAATTGTGGATATATAGAAAAGTTTTCTGCAAGACGAAACGATGAAGGATCATCCTTTCTATAATCGGCAAATTTCTGACACAGACGAATTAACATACGATCCAACCATCTTAATACGTCCGGGCCATCGTCAATTTCTGCCTTGAATACTGCAATACGTGCCATAAGAACAGCAGCAGCTTCTTGATCAAAGGATTGAGCAATTTGCGGACTATTTCCTTCAGCAAAGTTCCTGGCAACTGTTGTAACACGCAAACGGAATTGTCCACTGGAATGTTGGTAATGAGTCAAAAATTGAATCAACCCACGTGAACCAGGTTGAAGAGGTTGTCCATGTTGATTAACCACTTCAAAATACACCGCCGCTGTTGTCTTTGGAGTTATTCCGCACATCTTCCACGCCGATGTATTGGCAATACCGATCTCTGTCTCGGCGACTGATGCACTCTTTTTATTTGCAGAAATAGCATGACCAATTAAACCACATACTCGCATTTCTCGTGTAGTCTATATTTTAAAATTTAAAATTTTTTTAGAATTGTTTCCATGAACTTTCCTAATTGTATTAAATCTTTTAAAAATCCATACTTGTACATCCAAAGTTGCATTGAATCCCATTTGTAAGTTGCCTTGAGTATCTTTATTGAAGACTCTTTGGAAACTCTGCTTGAAGATAGCTGTTGTGAAAGAATCTGATAGGATCATAAAACCTCCGGTAGAATTCACCATTGATTTCATCTCAAGCAATCCAACCTGATCGAGGCATCCAGCAAAGATGTCAACAATATGCCCGTTTGTTGATGCACGTTTTGCCAAAGCATCATAAAACTGCATAAATAAATCGATACATATATATTATTGTATGTGGTTGCGTTAATTGATAAACCTAGACTTTATGTTACTTAACATAAGTGTTCGGAAGATCCTTAACCTTTAATTTAAGCATTGTTCAAAAATATAAAAAACGTGCCTTTGTTGCCTTTTTATAGTATTTTATATTGTCCTTCTCGATATCGTGGTGAGATCGAATTGGTTCTTTCAATTCATAACCAACAACCATGCCAGGACCTTCTGTAGCAGCACCGCCACAGAACAGCATAATACGTGCCCCCGTACCCGAAAATGTGGTCTATATAATAATATATAAATTAAAATGCACTATCAAAATTAAACTTATATTATATGAAAATCACATACCTCCATTAAACCAATTGCCACACTCATTGCCACGCCGGTACATCTTTGCGAACGTTTATCGTTAGCAACTGGCCAAGGGTCACGTTGGAGTTGCTCTAAAATAGATGTTAACTGGAAATCACATTGCTCAACCGGCAAAAGAAACCTGTTGAATTTCAAATATTAATCATCGGCTGTATAAATTATTTTCTATAAAAAAAATGTATATTCCTCACTACTTACCGGCTAGCACTTTGAGGAACGCCTGATGGACCTGGTCTTTGCAATGATTGACGTATCCCAATTCCTGATAAACCGAGCATTTCTTGGATTTGTTTTGATGAATACTCTTTAGTCCCACGAAAAACGTATGATTTTGGACATTCGCTATAACCAAGTTCATGAACTTGTGCCTAAAGTTTTAAAACAATTCACGTAAGCTTACAATCCATAGTAAAACAGATAATAGGATTTCTTGAATGAAAATTAATTTACCATAGTGCCATACGTGATCAAGCCAACTAATGCACTGGACGGAAGTAAACTCAAACTAACGACTAGAGAATCTTTCAATGCTTTCAAATCATCATCTTCTAAGCAAGTATCTACCACGAACAAAAAAATTGGAGGCACTTGAGCAGCACGAGCAAGAGTGTATTCGATTGTAGTAAATTTAGGTAGCAATTCGGCAGGAAGATTAGTGTTGGAGATATCTTTATAATGAGGAGGGAAAGCATTCCTTTGAAGGCAAAAAGGGCAGATCCAGAGTTTCCCGCGAACATCAATTTGACTATTAAAAAAATAATAATAAATCAGTACTTTGTCAAAACGAGAAACAAAATACGCGCACAAAAATTAAATTTGTAACTGCTAGATAACAATTACAGATTAAACTTAGAAAGAGACCGCTAAGCAAAAGAAAAAAAAAAAAATTTACCAGTAAGGGTTCAAAATTGCACGACAAGGAGCCTTACAAGTTACAGGTTCATAAAAGATTGGTGGCAGGTCCTCTCTTTCTTTGAGTGGAGTATAAAGACATGATATTGGAACCACTGTTCTTGTAGCATCCAAGCGAGAAGCTGGAAAAACATTCCAGGAGAAGCGAGTCCCGTCCTGCTCTTCGATTTCTTCAAAATTCATTTCTCGGAAGGATTCTACAAGGTCAAAATTTTACCTATTGTGGATCAAAGGATTGGTTTTTTTTTTTTTAAAAAAAAATTACCAGAGATTTACGTGGAGGTTTTTGTGTGGCCAATAAACTCATATAATCATATAATGCTTGTCTATCATTTGACTCCTGACTTGATATATTTATCATTCTTTTTTATGATATAATTGAATGAACAGACGCGAATTTCAATGATATTATTTCCGCAGTACCTACTGATATATCGAATTTGTTAAACTGAAACAGCAATTTGCGGCGTTAAATGTTCGAGCGCAAAAATTATTCATTCGATGAATAAAAAAGTAATTTCGATGCGACGACGACAGGACTTGAACCTGTGCGGGCAGAGCCCATGTGATTTCTAGTCACACTCCTTAACCACTCGGACACGTCGTCAAAGTACTTATTCTTTTGGAATTTTAATATTACTTAAAGATTTGTATTGACGTGCCGGAAATAGGTAGTACAACGGAGGTTGATAAAGGCCAACCCACACGGTCAATCTAAAAATCAAAAAAAAAAAAATTTACGGGGCATCAACGGGGTAAAGCTCCGATTGAAGACCTTCGAAAGATATATTTTCTCCCTTCACCCTTTTGAAATTGAAATAACGTCGCCCCCATTTTCCAAAAACTTTGTTCTTCCATACATACAGTATGAGTTTTCTATTCAAGTCGAAGCAAAAAACACCACACGAGCTGGTGAAGATTCTTAAAGACGCCATTAATAAGCTGGATGGCTTAGACAAAAAGAAGGTTGGTGTTGGGCCAAATTAACTGTTTTCTGAGATATAAGGTTGCAGCTTGTTTGGGAGAAGGAAACTCTGAGTCTATAAAAAAGGACCCTTATTACTTTCAAAGGAACTTCTTTGGGCAGTTTATGTATACTTTTTGACTCTGAGAAGAGTTGTTCCTGACCTCTCAACAAACCTGTATAGTGATAAAGATAAAAGAAGAAAAGGTCCTCACCAAATGTCATTTCGTAGGCAAGCGAAGACATATCGAAGAACTTAACGACTATGAAAACCATCCTCTACGGTGATGGAGGTTAGATACATTTGATATGATTAAATTACTTTAAATTCATCGTTGATCTCTAATTAATTGTTTTTTTTTAAAATTTAATCATGTTTCAGACAGTGATCCTGTGCAAGAAACGGTCGCGCAATTGGCACAAGAAGTTTATAATAATGATATTTTGCAATTATTAGTGTTGAATATTTGGAGATTCGAGTTTGAGGTAATCCGTCAATTATGATTCAGATAGTGTTACAGTCCTCTTACCTAATGAACAGGTCTTTACTAATCATTATAATAGGCAAAGAAAGACGTGTCGCAGATATTCAATAACCTTCTAAGAAGGCAGATAGGTTCATTGACTCCAACCGTCGATTATTTAACAAATAGAGAAGAAATACTATTTACATTACTTAAAGGGTATGTATAAATTGATTTATGTGATTCGAGATGATGTGATATTTATATTCCGGTATCACGTTTTTACTTCTCTGCTACAGTTATGAGAATCCCGATATAGCTCTTAATTGCGGAATGATTCTACGGGAATGTCTTCGACATGAATCCTTGACCAAAATTATATTGTATTCGCCACACTTTTACGATTTCTTTACTTATGTAGAAATGAGTACATTTGATATTGCTAGCGATGCCTTCGCTACATTCAAGGTTTGAGATATTATGTGTGTTCGTTTATGAATATTCTTTGACAACATATTGAAATTGTTCACCTTTTATTTCAAAAGGAGATATTGACACGTCACAAGACTTTGGTAGCCGAGTTTTTGGATGTTAATTACGAACAGGTATTATCATAATTCATCACTCATTTGTCAGATATTTTAAATTTATTTTTACTAATACTTTGTATTTTTTTAAAAAAAAAAAAGTTTTTCGAGTCTTATACCAAATTGTTGAATTCAAATAATTATGTGACTAAGCGACAATCCCTTAAAGTGAGTTATACATTCACTCAATCAAGTAGAAAAACACAATATTGATAATCTTTAAATTTATAGCTTCTTGGAGAAATTTTACTGGATCGTTGTAATTTCAATGTGATGACTCGATATATCGCGAGTTCAGAAAATTTGAAACTTATGATGAATTTATTAAGGGATAGAAGTCGTAATATTCAATTCGAAGCTTTTCATGTGTTTAAGGTACGAACTTATAATAAACAATCGTGAAATTTTTACGTTTAATCTGAAGAGAACCCTATTTTTTAGATATTTGTGGCGAATCCAAACAAAACTAAGCCTATCTCGGATATTTTGAGCAAGAACCGGGAAAAATTGATTCAATTTTTAGGAAATTTTCACAATGATCGTCACGGTTTGTTTAATATTTTGTTTATTCCAAATGATCTTTTGATTAAAAAAGAATGATTGATACTGATTTCTTCTAATGTAAAAAAAATTAGATGATGAACAATTCAATGATGAAAAGGCATTTTTATTGAAACAAATTCAAGAATTACCAGAACTTGAGGTTCTGTCGCGATAGAAATATTGTTGATTTTGGGGAATGGGGGCGCGTTGTTTAAATATGATATATATATATAATATGAAGGTCTTCAAATAAAATAATATATATCATAAGAAGGAGGAGATATCTATTAGGATTGTTTAAATAATCATAATGAAGAAATTATAATATATTTGACAAAAATAATAACAATTATCATTATATTAAAAAAAAAAAAAAATTTTAATTTAAATACGTTGGACATCATCATCATTATTATTATTGTTATTTTTGTCAAAGAAATTAATGTTACTCGAAACAAAATTTGGTTTTATATTACGTTTATAATTTTGAAAGAGGTGAACAGAAACTGATCTTTTTAAAAAAGTTTCCCGGTGAAACGAGATAAGGAGGGCGGAACATTCTTAATTTTTTTCTTTTTCTATTTTTTTTATATTTTTATATTTATACTATTACTATTTTCATTTTGTGTGTATAATTCTTTTTTCTTTTTATTTTATATATATATATATATATATTATTTCGTTGCCAATTTGAACAGTTTTATTTTTCTTATATAGAGCAACAAAATAACCATCATGTATTTTCATTTTTATATGCTGATAAAGATGTTACTTTGTAATTTAAGGAAAAAAAATCCTATTGATGTATTATTCTGAAGAAATAAATTGGTTATTACACTATTAATTTAGGTAAAATGCTTCCAAACAGAAAATTTTTGTTGTATATTTTCGGATGATAAAAATTCTTGTTTACTTATAGTAACTGAAGAATCAATCACGCTAACTCCATTTCCTCCAACTTGCGTCTCAAAACTTTCAAATCCTAATGATGCTAAAGCCGATTTTATTTTCGTTATTTCATCACTTGTAATATCTATTCATAATAAATCAATAAAGTATGTATGATTATTAAGATCGCATTAACCTTGGAAGAATCTGTATATATATTTACCATCTCTAAGTAAAGTTAATACACAACCTCCACCCCCAGCTCCAGTAAGTTTAGAATGTAATGAATGCTGTGCGGTAATTTCTCTTACTCGATCAATAGATGAATGTCCCACTCCCAAGGAATTTAATAAATAATGATTTATATCAATAAGTTCCTATAATAAAAGTAAAATACATTTATCAAATAAATTCAAAATAAAATAACGTATTTAAAAAAAAAATACCTCGAATTTTTTATTTAATTCACTCTGAGAAGCTATAGATAGGGTAATTAAATCATTTTAGTAATTTAAAGCGAAATTATGATTATAATGCAGTTTAATTTAATCTATTTATTTATTTATTTATTTATTTATTTTTACCTCCGCTATTAACTATTTCATTAAATGAGTGGCTAATACCCTCAATGGCTTCTAATATAGGATCGACAATATGTGGATGCTAAAAAATTTAAAAAATATTTCAGCATTGAAAAAAAATTTCTCAAAAGGATCCTCGAAAAAAAAAGGCTTTGAAGGAAACAAGGATAACGTTCCCCCACAAATAATTTAAAATATACTTTATCATATAACACGCGAACTTTAGCAACTTGAGCGCGAGTATCCCGAGATATTTTCGTATTAGTTAATAGGAATCGAAGTAATTGAAATCTTACAGAAAAAATCTAGTCATATTTCGGCAAAGGAAATCGAATAAAATAAAATACTTGATTATAATTCAAAGATAATAAATTCCTTACCCTATCACATTTTCCATTTCACCTTTTGTAAATGATACTGCACCACCTTTAATAATAAAAACAGACATTTTATTATAATGTTTTCAAACGAGGTATAAAATGAAATGTAGTATTTACCATAAGTAGCTACTGCATTGTCAATTCCTGAGGGAATACCATGAATCACCTTTTCGGCTTGAAATGCCCAACGATTTATTAAGTTCATTGGAGAAGAATAACCTGAAAAGCTAGTATCTGTATTTCCTTCATTAGAGTTAGGAACAGGAATATGACCTAGAGCAAGTAATAATCCTGTAGCTAAACAAACTGAATAAGAAGCGGATGATCCCAATCCAGCTCCCACTGGTAAATCGGAAGTGACGTGAACTTTCATCCCACACCTTAAATGAATTATCATTTAATTTTACGTTTGAACAGGTTATTTGAGTTAATTCGGGTCATACCATGAATTTTGTTTATCCTCTAAGCTCGTGTAAAGGTAAAGAAAGACTGAAGCCGCCACTTGTTGTAATTCATTAATTTCTTGAATATCTTTATTTTTAGCGTTGCCATCAAGAACAATTGGTTTTAATTCTTTTAAAAGCTCCTCGTTAAATGCTAATTCTTGCGAAGAATTATTATCTGTAGCTTTTATTCAAAAAAAAAAAAAAAAGAAAAGGAATAGGGATATAATTAAGAATCAATTCTCCGATTTATAATCAAATGAAGAGTTAAATTTACCTTTGCTAACCGCAGCTACCTTGGAATATGGAAGAGCAGAAATCGGCCATATTAAAGGAAGGTGAAGACCAAGTTTCGGTAAATTCAATTCTAAGAGACCATCATCGCTCTTTTCAAAAAGTATATAAGTGCGAAGTCCGTCAATACTTCCAGCAATTGCCGTCTAAAAAATAAAGTTCGGTAAATTTTCATTTTTCCATTCATTTTAATGGGAACCTTTTTTACCTTTCCATAAACAACTGCGTGCTCACCAAACAATATAACTTTGCCTGGCGCTGAAATAAGATAATGGGTTGGTGAAGACATAATGTCAACAACAGAAATTTCAACAGTGGGTTTTTTTTTCAATTAAAACTAATTACCACAATCAATTTGTGAAGTGAACAAACAGAAAGTAATAAGAAATACGATATCAACAAGACGACTTTATTTAAATTATCCTTAGTAACTTAAGCCAGCGAAATAAAGTCAAACTAAAGTCAAAACTAACTAAAAATATAAGTGTAAATATTAATTTTGATAAATCTACTGCGGTCTGTAATAGCTTCCAAAAATGTATAAATTAAATCAAGATTCTAATTATAACAGCCATGACAGTATTTTGATTTTATTGGTTAACCGATGAAGATTCTGATTGGCTAAACCAATTTCATAAGAAATTAACTTTGACAACACCAATCCTGAAGTTTCACAAAAAGTCTGTAAAAGAAATGATCATCTTTTCATGTTCTAACCTTGCTCATATGAATTCTGAAGGTTTTTGATAAAAAAAGATTCCAAGTTTTATTAGATATTTTGGTTTTTAAAGGTTACAAAACCAATATTTTGACTTTGTATAACATGAAGGTATTTCTAAAGTTCCTCCTAATAAAACTTGGTAGAACTAAGAGATTCTAGAGATCATAATGTATATTAAAGTAGAATAGCAATAAAAGAATGTCTCAATAAAATTTTGTGGCAAATGGACGTGTTCTTCATGTGGTGTAATATAGGGCTTCGTCAATAGAAATACGATATCTAGCAAAAAAGCTATTTTGAGATAATTGAAATCAGAGTTTAGTGTAATAACAACAAATGGTGATTTATTATTGGAATTATATGCATCTCAAAATTGAATCTTTGCTATAACAATCATTTTTATAATTATTCATTGTTAGAATTTTTTACGCATTTATTTTTTGAAATATTTATCTACAATGTAATTTACATATTATTTCCTTATATTATTTCCTTATATATTATTTTTTTACAAATAATTTACATACTTTTTTTAAGAGATTGTCTTACAAATATAATCAATTAATAAATTTTTTGATAAAAGTAAAGCACTATTATCTCTGTTATAAAACATAGCTTATTATATAATGAATAGCATAAGAAATGATATTGTTAATTTTTTTTGTACTTTTTGGTGGTCTTAGAATTACTGATTCAGGGCAAAGGTAATCTTATTTTTCTTTGACTTGAATGTACTTTCATACTTCATCAAATAGATACCATTGCCAAGTTGCACTTAAACCAGGAAGTGGAGTAGTTACTAGACTTGGTTTGGCATCTTTTTTCAGATCTTTTCTTCAAATTTCAATCAAATTTGTTTCTTTATTAATAGAACTGCTTATTTTTACTTTTCCTTTATGTTCATTATCAAAAATAAAGTGATGCTATTTTAAAATATTTGGAACAATTTTGAAATATTCTTTTAACTATTTATTTCAATTATAGAAATATACAACCTGCTCTCTGTTTTTGTCAAAAATCGTTTGCATTACATTATATTTATTTGTTGTTGAATTTTCTACTACTTTAATTAAGTCATCTAAATTATCAACCTCTGACTTAGTGAGTGCCAATTTAAATAACCCAAAAAAGAAATCTAGGCTAAATTTTATATGCCTAGCAATTATAAATAAATATGTAATTCTATTATGATAACCCATTATTACACGCCATGTTAAATAAGCTATCATTAAATTGTTCTTGTTTTGTCCAGAATAATTATTGGCATAGATAATTAAATGTTTTTCTCCCAGTCCATACAAAAGAAAATAATTGTACACTAATAAAATAACCACATCTGCTCCTTTTCCAGGCATTTCACTTTCTTTAATAAGATAATTCACCTAAAAATAATCAATAGTTAAAAGATTTTTAAATATGAATTAATAAATAACTTACTTGACAAGAAATGCATCATTGCATATCCCAAAAACATAAACTTTATAAAAAGACTTAAAAAATGTATCTTTCTAATAAAATGTTGATTTTATAATTAGTTTTTTTAATAAAATCTAAAAAAAAAAATTAAAACAATTTACCTCTTGTTGTGATAAAGAAGGTAATTGAACTTGTTGAGCAAAGTCCCAAAATAGATGTATTTTAACATCTAAAGAATTAATTTTTCCTAGACGAATTATATTTTCTTTACCAAGTCTTTCAACAGTAAACTTAGCTCTTTCTATACATTTTCTAAATTTATCAGTTAAAAGCATTAATTAAAAATTAATTATATATTTTAAGATGTATAATAAACTTACTTGTAATATTCATATTCATCATATGCAGCTTTAATATATGCATTCCATTCAATTACTTTTTGATCTTACTTCTCTACAGTTCAATTACCAGCATTAAATCGCATAGTTTTACATAATAACATAGGTCACTTCATGAAGTTAAAACTTTATTTTAGATGAATAGTTTTTTCAAACTCGATAAAAAGTACTTAAACTGATAGTTAATTTTTCAATGCTTTCACATTGTTGAATTGCCATTAAATACTTCTAATGCAAAGATAAATAGCTTTCAATAGCAGGTAAAAAAAATAACTTTTATTATTTCACGTCTGAAATGTCATCCTAAGATAAAAATCAAATATGTAAAAATGTAAATAAAATATAATATAATGTTAAAATATATACCTGGTGATAGAAGACCCATCTGTTAGTGTAACTTAATATAAAACTAACAATTTTTATAATTGTTAAAAATGAGATCATTCTATTGCTAGGCTTTTCAATAGCTTTATAAACCCTAGTTTTAATATCTTTAACAGAGAAATGAGTTCGTATATTTTTCCATCTTGTAGTTCTGATCCCATAAACAAATTTAAAAGCTTTCAAACAGATTTTTTTGCATCAAAAGAATAATCATAAACTGTCTTAACCCTTTTATTACCTTTTACTATTATATGTTGTGATTCTGAACTACTGACAAAATAACCCATTAAAAAAGAATCTTGATTACTTTTTGATAAACTTTGAAAATTTGAATTTCTTAAAAAAGCTTTTTTAGTATTAATTTTATCTTTTATACAATTATTTTGATAACATGATGTTTCAATTATATTTTTTTTGAAACATTCTTCATTATTTTGTTTGATTTCTTCGTCTAAAAGTTGTATTTCAATATCACCTAAGTTATCACCTTTAATAATTTCAGTTTTTTAAAAAGTTGTTAATATTTTTGTAATTGAATTTCTATAATAACTAAAAATTCACTATTCTCCGCTTCTACTTCGTCTAAAATTTTATCATTATTTTCTAAATTTAATTCAGAAATATTGTTATCAATAGTTACGAAATGTGTTTGAAAACAAAAAAAATCTTGTTGCAATGTTTGAAGCTCTTTATGGGTTTCAGAAAAAATGCTATTTAATAATGAATGAGTCATTTTTAGTTTAAGTAATACAAAGATACCGTAAAATTATTGAATTTTGGAGGTTTATATATTAATTGTTTATATTCAAATAGATTCAAATTGATGCTTAATTTCACAATTTTATGATACTTATTTAGATAACTTTTTCGTGCACAAAAAATTTTTTTTATTATTTATATTAATTATTGTAAATTTGCAGGAAGTTCAAAGATCATCAACTCAATTTATGAGAATTCTTAAAATTCTATTTTTAAATTGGTTTACCGATTACATAAAATCGTGAAAAATAGGTATAAAAAAAATTATACTATACAAAATAATAATTTTAAAGACTGAAATATGTTCTAAAATATCTGTTTTATATAACACTGTATTTAACTCATTTTGGTAAAAATCGCTAAATATTGTATTTCTATTGATGAAGCCCATATGATACATTATAATTATATATAGATTTACTATATAAATAACTTATGTAACTAAGAATCCTCTGTCATGCTAATTATAACGTTTTATTATTTATTTATTTATTTTTTATATCCGTGAATTATTTTTTTTTATTTTTTTATACTGTGATTTTAATTTAATTATGTTATTTTATATTTAATTTTAATTTTTAAATTTATTTAATTTTAAAACAAAAAAAAATTGCAAATAACTGAAATTTTTTTTTCTATAATCACAGGTTCTAATATATCTACCTATATAGTATATCCCTTATATTTTTTAATTTAATTATTTATTTTATTTATTTGATTAATCGAAAATCAAAAATTAAATCTTAAAGTTGAATCTTGAGAAATAATTAATTGGAGAGTAGCAAAAGGTCTATGCTAGCATGAAAATGTCTATCCACTTGAAATTTAACAATAGGCTAGTTCAATTTTGATCATTCAGATTTTTGATTAGATTTTAAGTTGATAAAGATTGGCTAATAGGATTATATAACTCGATCAGTGACCTGATTTTTCCAAACTACAGAAAAGTAGAATTTTTTTGATTGTTTTTGTTAACAAATAAAAAACGCGTTTTCAAAGAAACTATGAATTAAGTATAAAGTAAAGAGAAAACTTCTATTAAACGCACTAATACTTCTAATACTAACTTTACTGATGCTCATAGACCTTAAAAAAGAAAGTACTTACACATTTAACTAATATAACTCCATGCTTAATTTTGCCTAGACCAGTTCTTACAGAACAACAGTAATAGCAAACTCTTTCTCAATAGCAACAAATTCTTTCTCAACAACTTGTTCTTCCCTTTTCCCAGTTGCAACATAATTTTCCCCAGTAACAATATACTCTTTCTCAATAGTAATATGATCCTCAATTATATAGTTTAACTAATACTTCTCTTCAATAATAAAACTTGAATTTGAGTCCACTTGAAATAGAAAAGGTGAGTATATATTTTAGAATTTTTAATTACAAAAGGATATTAAAAAAGGCTATTAATTAATTTATGAAAAAAAGGATGAGGGTGAGGTAAAGGAAGAAGAAAATTATGATTAAAATCACAAAAGAATATTAAAAAGGGCTATTAATTATTTGATGAAAAAAGGATAAGGGTGAGGCAGAAGAAGAAGAAAATTATGATCAAAATCAAGATCCTTCTGATAAAAAATCTGAAAATAAATGGAAACACAATGAAATTAAAATTTTACTTAACTATATTCAAGAAAATTACTCAGCTTAGTCTAAAGGAAACAAGTCAAAGTTTTATAATGATATGCCGAAGAATGTTTTACCTAATAAAGAGTCAAATGCAATTAAAAGTAAATATTTTCTTATTTTTTTTCTTATTCTTATTAAATTATTAATATTTTTAATTATTTATATTTAAGGTAAATTTGCTCAATTAATAAAGAAATATGAATCCATTAAGAACATAACAATCAAACTGATAAAGAGCAGAAAGATTAGTATAGTATGATAAAATGAATATGATCTTTAAAATACATGAAAATATAAGTCCTTTAATTTTAGCAAATAAAGAAACAGAAACTGGTATTGAAGAAGAAATTAAAATTAAAAAGAAAAATTGTAAAAATAAAAATCTAAAAATAATGTTGAAGTTATAGCTGTAGCAATAGCTAAAATGAGTAAACATGAGAAAAAATTTGGAAAAAAAAGATGGAGATAGAAAAGAAATAAATAGAAGTTGAAAAGGAAAGGTAGGCATATGAAAGAGAAAAATCAAGAATGGAATTTGAGTTAAGAATGAAAAAAATAGAATTGAAATTGCAAAGAAAAGAATAATATGTTTTAATTTTGTATATTGATTTTTGATCAAATTTAATAAAATTTCAATTCAATTACATTAAAGTATTGGTTTACTATTTGATTTCTTTTTAATTCTCCTATCCTTCTCAAAGAATTTTCATTTAAATCATTTAAATTATTATTATTTCTATCATTATCATTATTATCACTATTATTATTATCACTATCATCACTATCATTATCATTATCATTATCATCATTTAAATTGTCCTAACTATCATTATTTATTTCTAAAAAATTGTATAAAATTATATAATATTCAGTAAAATGAACTGCTGTTGATATTTTTCTAACATTTAAGTCTTTTAAGTAACTAAATCTATTCTTAAACCTACCAAAAGCATTTTTTATTACTACATAATTTAGAGAATGTTTAACATTAAATTGTATTTGCAAATTATTTTCAGAATTAATAAAGGATTTAATAAAAAAAAGAATTCTGATATACCTTTGCGTTATAAACAGATCTTAGCTAACCTATTTTATAATCAATAAAGATACCACAATGATCAACAATACCTTAATACTGAATTGAATATTTTTTTTACAATTCCAATATACAAAGGGGTGAAATAAATATTGAATAATTTTTTCGCGAAGATTTATTACATCAATTTTATATGAAAATTTATTAATTAAA